TACATTGATTCTCGTTTGAGCCCAACACATTTTTCAGTCACTCCGCTCAAAAGCTTAAATTGCAACCCATCAAGTGGAAGGATTGAATGATTTCGACCACGTAAGTACCTTATGAAGTCAGAATTGAAATGCAGATGTTCCTAACCCCCTTCGAGGAGGTGAACCCCAGAAGGCCTTAGTCTCTCGTAGACAGACGCTACAATTTTTGCTCGTACCTCGCAATTTGTAGTCTGTTGATTAGAGTGATCCTTTGATCGCTCGCCAGATTATTACCAATCACAAAATTTCTCGGATGTTGAGGTTCGTCCTTCTACGCGTTTCTTGTCGATTTACGGCCTCCCTGAGACTCAGTACATCTACCCCAATGTTCTCTGTAGCGGAATTTAGTTGCCAAGGTTCAAAAACGAAGATGCCGAAAGTTGATCCCCGGCATGCGCCAAACACCGAAATATTAGTTCAAGCTCAAAGGCATAGAATAAAAATATTCTGAAGGGGCAGATCCCTTCATAAGGTAGTAGAGTGTACCGATTTGGTTGAATTTCAACTGCTGGAGGATATAGGGAGCAAGGGGAAGGGTATGCTGTTCGTTTTGTGAAAAAAATAAAACCTACCTCGATTTTGAGTGGAGGAACAGAAACCCCGAGTTATGAGACCCCGCGCACGAGGTTTGACCTAACTTCACTATATTCTTAAATCACCGTCTCACGATATTAAACCCACCTCACGACATTGAGCCATCTCACGATTTTGAAACCACCACCTACGATTTTGAAACCCCCACCTCACGATATATTAAGACACCCACCTCACGATTTTTGAACCGCCACCTCACGATTTTGAAGTGACCTCTCACGACTTTAGCAACCATCTCTTGATTTTGAGGCGACTATCTCTCAATTTTGATAAATTGATCCCGAACGTCGCCGGCAGCGATGACGGCGAGTGTTCGGGCATTGCGTGCCACGGCGAGCAGAGGCATGTCGGGGACGGCGGTGTCGCGTCGGCCTCGCGTCGGCACCGTCGGTGGTTGAGCAGGGTCCGGATCATCGCACCGTACGGCCGGACAGTGGCTGTGGCCTGCCGGCATGTTGACGGCATGTTCAAATTTGATGTTCAACTTTGGTTCACCTCTTTAATTTCTCAGCCACTGTGGTAGTTTAGGCCTAAATCTTAGGGCATGAATTACCCTACTACTATATGTGACTGCCTACCGGGCCAGTCGGGGTAATGGGCCATTCGGGAATATAAGCACGGCCCATATGTGGGAGTTGCAGAGCTGTTCGAATTCCGCCGCTCGCCCCTGTCCCGATTTGGGGATTTGATGTCGGCAGTTGCGGCGGAATTTGATGTCGGCAAGCCAAGCCGTCTCTTGCACAACGGGAGCGCACTGCAGGGGGCTTAATTTCCGCTAACCTATCAGCCTCATTGCTGAACGGTAATGCGGGTATCAGTTTACAAAATATCTCATGCGACTCTTAATATGTTAGTCCTGCTCGGGGGTCAAAACCCAGGCATCTACTGCACTCTACAAGCCGGCCAGCGCGTAAAAGTGCTAAGGTGGCCCGGATCCCGATCACTGATAGTATCCAGCCCAATCTTACAGTCCCAGTCAAAAGTGAACCCATTTGATTTCTTTTGACTCGCAAAATTTAGACCGAATTGCGATGGTTACAGCCTAGAAGTACTCCTCACAAATATATAGGTGGCATTTTATGTGGGGCAAAAAATGTGCCTCTTAAGCGTTGCGAGCGAAAGAAAGGTGTGAAAATGACCCAACTTTGCCCCGAGCATGGCTGGGACTAAGAAAAACTGGAAATGAAGGTAGGTTTAAAACTCATGCTTTGGTATTTCAAGTGCCCGAATGCGTGTGGCAATTTTGAGGTTTGAATTGGGTTTGAATTCACTAAACCAGTGATTACACTCCCCACCCGACTGTTGTCCCATCCCCTCCCCTCACTTTCCTTCAAAGATACTGCGACGCCTCGGACATATACCATTTCTCCCTCTGATCATGCAGTTATGCATCATCCAGGCCATCGGGCATATGCACCTAGATTCAGAGTTATACAATGTACATAGTTTTGCAACAGGATCACCTGTTTTGTTTACACAACTGGTAACATGTCTAAGCATATGACGAGACAGAAGAGCGAACCGCCGGGCACCGAGTGTTTGCAGGTTTTAATCTGGGTTGCGTGAATGAGTATTTCCGAGCTGCGTGAAAATCAACCAAAATCAATGCACTCGTACAAGAAGGGTAATTCAAATACTTTTCCCTCAGTTTTATCGGAGAAGCCACCGGGGAAAAATAGAAGAAATATGCTGGTTGACCCGCTCTATAGTGCACTTCAAGCGGTTAAGCCTTAGAAAGGTGCCAAGGAAAGGAGATACAGAGCAATCACCAGTTGGCATCACCACCCAGCCAGTCATTGTACATTTGAATCTATGTTGGGCGAGTGAGTTGGAATTTTAGTTGCTAGACGGGATTGCTTCTTCTGCAAGTGAGACTCTCTTGAGACTTGCACTATAACTCCGGCCTGACAGCGTCTTCCATCTCGCCCGCAAGGGCAAAGAAGAAGGCTTTGTTCATGGCCTTCCTTGGTGTGCGAGTCAACCAGCAGATGCTGTACTCAAATACGGACAATGGCTGATCTCTCCCAGACAGCCACTTCAACAGGTGATAGAGCTCGGTGACAACGGGCAACTTGGAAAGTATCGGATCTTCGTTGGAGCCCCAAAGAAAGAATGTGAGTCGGATGTACTATGTTGGTGCCGCCGCCGACAATCTGACAAGGGAGGGATCCAGAATTACAATCCATGGGTTTTCAACTCCCCATCTCTCCGTTTTTTCCTATTCCCAACCCAGGGGCAACACTGTTTGGGCCATTTTATAAGCTCGAACGGTGTGCACATACATTTTTAGCGATCGCAAATGCTCCATGAGAATATATTGCAATCCGACCAACTGCAATAAACTGATGAGAATTTGTGTCTAACCCCCACAAGCTACCTTCTCCTGACCGAAAAAGCAGCACTGTCTACATTTTTTTCAGAGTTCAACATGGCACCTTTGAGATTGGTCTCCGCCGAGCGCTCTCTGGACACGGTTTGACAGCATGGTAGTTTGTGGTCCAAGGTTTAGGACTAAACTGCCAATGGTCACAGGAGCAACAGTGGCTGAGAAGAAGGTTCTAAAAGGTTGAACCAAAGTTGAACCAAGGGGACGTCGGGATTCGAAAATCGGAAGGGGGGTCGAAAAGTTTTTTTCAGCCTTGGCTGGACTCCCCCCCCCTGCCTTATCGGGAAGGTGTCTCCCACCCCTGGCGCCGGGCCGCTCCCTCCGGACTTTCCGCCGCCCACTGAACCTCCCTCAGACAACTACTGTCGCCTAGTTTTGATCCCTGAGGTACATGTTATTCTTCCTAAACCTATTTAAAGTGCCACAAGACTTTGATTAGACCTGCAAAAGAATTTGAACCCAGCCCGGCATTTTGCCGGCACCGCCGACTAAGCACTTTTTGGTTGAAATTATTACTTTAACACTGTCTGAGGTGAGTGAGAAGCAAAAGGTGAGGTTTTTTACTCATTGGGACCCTCATATGCCTCTACTAACATTTTTACACCCTCCCATAGCCCTCCCAAAACTTACCCTACAAAGTTTTTTTCAGCCTTCTCCAGACCCCCCCCCCCCCCCCCCCCCTCCCCCCATCCGAAATTTTAATCCCGACGTCCCCTTGAGTTGAACATCAAATTTGAACATGCCGTCAACACCGGCCGCACGGTGCGATGATCCGGACCCTGCTCAACCACCGACGGTGCCGACGCGACGCCGACGCGACACCACCGTCCCCGACACGCCTCTGCTCGCCACGGCGGGCAATGCCCGAGCACTCGCCGTCGTCGCTGCCGGCGACGTTCGGGATCAATTTATCAAAGTCGAGAGATAGTTGCCTCAAAATCGTGAGATGGTTACCTCAAAATCGTGAGAGGTCACTTCAAAATCGTGAGATGGCAGTTTCAAAATCGTGAGGTAGGCCTCTGAGGTGGCGGTTTCAAAATCGTGAGATGGCTCAATATCGTGAGGTGGGTTCAATATCGTGAGACGGTGAGTTCAGAATAGTGAAGTTAGGTGAAACCTCGTGCGCGGGGTCTCATAACTCGGGGTTTTTGTCCCTCCACTCAAAATCGAGGTCGGTTTTTTTTTTTTTAACAAAACGAACAGCATAGAAGGGAGGGGAAAAGTGATTTGTAATCACCCACCAAAAGATTGGTAATAATCTGGCGACCTTGCATCAGTGGCGCGGTTAACTACAGACTAAGAAGGCCTTCCGTCACAAAATAAAAAAAAGATGAAACAAACCGCTTATGTGGGTGCCAGGAATCGAACCTGGTTCTGCTGCCTGTAAATGCCTGGGGTATTCAACAGGAATGACAGTGGTGTACCGTACACTACACCCACTTTCCTGCCTACTTCCAACACTGCTCATACCCTGCACATTTTTCGGTCACTCTCCACAGAAGCTCAAATTGCGACCCATCAAGCAGAAACATTGAACAATTTCAACCACATGCCTTATGAAGTCAGAATTGAAATACAGATGTTCCTAACCCCCTTCGAGGAGGTGAACCCCAGAAAGCCTTCCGTCACAAAAAAAACAAAACAGATGAAACAAACCTTCTATGTGGGTGCCAGGAATCGAACCTGGTTCTGCTGCCTGTAAATGCCTGGGGTATTCAACAGGAATGACAGTGGTGTACCATACACCACACCCACTTTCCTGCCTACATTAATCCTCGCTTGAGTCCTGCATAATTTGCAGCCACTCTGCACAAAGACTCAAATTGCAACCCATTACAAATTCATTAAGTGGAAGCGTTGAACAATTTCAACCATGTGCCTTATGAGGTCAGAATTGAGATGTGGATGGCCCGGAGCCTTATTCAGCGAGAGAAACCCCTCAAGACCTTCTATCGCAAAAACAATGAAACGAGCACAGAAATGTGGGTGCCAGGAATCGAACCTGGTTCTGCTGCCTACAAACAATTTTTCGCCCTGCCCAATGGCGACAACCGTGTACCATACACTACACCCACTTTCCTGCCTCCTTTCAAACCTTGCCTAACCACATATTTTTCACCCAGTCAACGAGATTGTTTTCGGGATCCATGAAAACTTTCAATCATGGACCAAGTCCGGCCAGCAGATGTGGGTGCTAGGAATCGAACCCGGTTCTGCTGGCCGCAGAGCATCGTCGGGACCTCAAACGGAAACAGCTGTGTACCATACACCACACCCGCTTTCCTGCCTAGATTCAAGCCTGGTGAGGCGCTACATATTTCCACCCAGTCAACAAGGATTTTTTCCCCGACAATGAAGGCCAGTCCTACAAGTGTTATGTTGAAGGTTAAACCCACCCAGTTCTCCTTCTTCTTCCCGTTGTAGGAGGCAAACAAAAGAACCAGTCCATGCGGGAGGTAAAAGCGAAAGCTGAAGATAATGTGGGTGCCAGGAATCAAACCCGGTTCTGCTGCCTAGAAGCCTCTGCTCCCAGTAGAGGGGACAACTGTGTACTATACACTACACCCACTTTCCTGCCTACATTCAAGCCATCACATATTTTGGACCCTGTCAACAACAAAGATTTTTTTCGTGAATCGGTCAATGAAAGCTCTCAATCATGAACCAAGTCCTACCAGTCCTGTTATATTGAAAGCATGGCCCACCGACTGTTCCTTCCCCATCTCTGGACATAAAAAAAGAACCAGTCCGTGTGGGAGGTAAAAAAGGATATGTCACACAATGGATGTGGGTGCCAGGAATCGAACCCGGTTCTGCTGTCTGCACAGCGTCGGGACCTCAAACGGAAACAGCTGTGTACCATACACCACACCCGCTTTCCTACCTACTTACAACCTTGGTTAGGTGTCATATATTTTTTCCCCAGCTAATCAAGATTAAGCATGTAGAAGATAAGCACCGGGAGTCGAGTAAAGTCACGACAGAGAGACGACACGAAGGTAAAAGGCAAGCAACAATTGATGGGGAAACATGAGGTACACGCGTGTATGTATGTCGTCGTAATCTAATCTAATCGGGTCTCGGCTCAGACACCAACACACCTCCAGAGACGAGACACCTCCAGAACTCATCACATGGAGAAATCGGAATCGTGTATGTCCCGAGCCAACATCGCGGCATGAGCCTCCTCTGGTGAGAGACTCTTCTTCTTCTTTTTCTTCTTCTTTCTCTGTTTGTTCGGGGTACCGCCAACGCTAGCGGTTGCGGCGGTGAGGGTCGGAGACGGCGGGGAAATGTGGGGATCAAGGTGGACAGCAAAAGCAGACTCATGAATCGCGGGGTGAGGAGTGGCCAAGGAGGCAGCATAGCTCTCGCGGATCGTAGGGTCCATGGTGTCAAAGTTGAGCTCGGATGGGAGATCATGAACGGCGAGTGCGAAGTGAGTGCCAGTGTCAATGGTAGCTGCGGCAAACTCGGTATCCGTGCCAAAATCATCGGCGAGATTAGCCTGCTGTTCCCGGCGGCCCAAAATCCGCTGACGAACATCGTCGGGCATGATCGAGATGCAGTACTGGGCGAAGTGACCGGGGAGACCGCATCTGTAACAGATGTCCGTGCGATTCTTGGTGTTCGTCCAATCGAACTCTTTACTGCCGGCAGAGCGCGACGGTGTTGAGCGACGGAAATGACCACCGCGAGCGGCGAGTGCGGAGGGAGCGATATCCAGATCCACACCTCCATGATTCGGAGTGCGGGAATCGCGTTCAGCCCTACGGGCAGCTTTAATTACCGAATCACCTTTCTGGAGATCTGCGACCTCCCACGCATTAATTGTGGTGACCATGTCCGGTACGGAACGCGAAGGCGATTCGTTCTGAAGAACGGTGGTGATCGGGGAGTAGACAGCGGCCAGACCACTGAGGATTTTATCCTGGACCATGAACGGAGGGAGTGAGACAGCGATGGCGGTGAGACGACTCTCGACAGTGATGATGGCCTGAAGAAAATCATCGGCGGGTTTCAGGATGTCGTGGGCGAGGGTGTTAAACTGGGACATGAGCATGGAGCGAACGGCAGGGTCCGATGTGGTGTAGAAGGATAGGAGCTGGGCCCAGAGAAGGCGGCCGCTTTTTCCGACACCAGCGTTATTAACCTTGGCCTGCACGGCCGGGTTCAACGTGAGGTACAGAATGCCATAGGCTTTCTTATTATCATTGGTCCAAGCACGCATCTGAACGACGCCGCCAGGAACAGGAACCGATGGGTCAACGGCATTCCACAGACCTTCGGCCAATAAAAGTTCCTGTGCTTCGTCCTGCCAAGTCCACCAGTTCTGCCCGGTGAGTTTCGAGATATCAGATGGTTTAACCATCGTAAGACGTGCCGATTATCGGGTAGAGGTGAGCAAGGATGGGGTAGATCGAGGTAGATAAGACGGGTAGACCGGGGTGCTGATCGTAACAGCGAACACAGACAAACAAGACGAGGAGTAATCTAGGCAGAGGTACGCAGGGGCAAGCCCATAACCTGTAGAAGATAAGCACCGGGAGTCGAGTAAAGTCACAACAGAGAGACAACACGAAGGTAAAAGGCAAGCAACAATTGATGGGGAAACATGAGGTACACGCGTCGTCGTAATCTAATCTAATCGGGTCTCGGCTCAGACACCAACAAAGCAGTATTCAAGTGATTCCACTTAATGAAGGCTCTCAATCATAGACCATGTCCTGACAGTCCTGTTGAGTACATTGAAAATTAGACCCACCCACTTGTCCTTCCCTGGACTATGTCAGGACACCACAAATAATGGGTAAGTAGGTTTAAAGAATTGTACTACAAACACCACTGATGCGGGTGGCAGGAATCGTACCCGGTTCTGCTGCCTGTAAATGCCTGGGGTCTTCAACAGGAATGACAGCCATGTACCATACACCACACCCACTTTCCTGCTTACTTCCAATGCTGCTTAACCCCTGTACAATTTTTGACTCTGCCCACAAGCTGAAATTGAGACCATTCAACCAAAGTTTGCTTTGATCATCATGAAAGGAAATGCTGAAGCACTGATTCCTAGACACTCATTGAAGGAGGTCAACAGAAACACACCTTAGTAATCCATTTTACTGTAAAAAAAATCCAGATGAAGACCTGATAATATGGATGCTAGGAATCGAACCTGGTTCTGCTGCCTACAAACTTGCGCTCTTGGCTAAAGAGGGCAGCCGTGTACCATGCACTAAACCCACTTTCCTGCCTCCTTTAAAGTGTGGGCTAAGCACCACAGATTTTCCACCCACTCAACAACAAATATTGTTTTCGTGATCTGAAGGCTCTCAATCATGGGTTCATGCACCAAGTCCTGCCAGTGTTACATTGAAAGCATGACCCACCCAGTCGTCCTTCCCTGTCTCAAAGCACAACAAGCGAGCCGCCGGTCGGTTACAAGGGCAGTGAACAAAGAAAAAAAATGGCAAACACCATCATACAATGTGGGTGCCAGGAATTGAACCTGGTTCTGCTGCCTACAACTTCCGTTTTTTTCCTTCAAGCAAAGTAGCTGTGTACAGTTGAATGGCTCATAATGCATAACGTCCGTTCCCTGCCAAAATGAGTCTAATTTGGTTAAATACTATGCATTATGGGCAATATGTGTTATGACCACCCTCATACAGTGACAAAATGCATATTGGTGGATCCAGAATCCTATGCGTTATGAGAAATTTTGGCAGGTATGCATTATGAGCTTATGCATTATGAGCAATCCAACTGTACCATACACTACACCCGCTCTCCTACCTGCTTTCAACCTTTGCTAACCCCATATTTTTCTGATGGCCTCACAACACCCTGATCATCATGTGTCTGATTGTTATGATCTGACTCTTTTTCATTTAGACCCCGGACGGGGTCTGACGATCAAACCACTGGGTTCCTTTTCCGGAAGACGTGATGGCAATCAAACATCACATCAAAACCCGAGCGACTCGATTGCAATCGAGCCGTATCATTGTTTCGGTCTTTAACCCCTTCATCTAAACCCCTTTACTTCTGATAAATACCCATAGATAGGTGCATGTACGGTATACTATTCTGGTCTAATCTCCAGTGGCTTATCTTGTTATCCCTTTTCGTTTCGTTCTGTCGCCTCAGTCACACTCAAACCCCGACCACAGGCCTCTGTGCTGACAAAAGAATAGTATCTCCATACCGACTACCCGACAGAACGACACAATGGCAAGCGGTTTTGCCATGCCCAGACGCAATGAATTCGTCACCTACGACCTGCCCCAGGCGATTACTCTTCTCTACAAACAGTCCAGTGTCGCTGCAGAGCAGACGGCCGGACTTGCCAGACCGGGTCATCTCTCTGGGGACACAGGTGGAAGGATTGGCAAATGCAATGAGAGGGCTGGTGAGCAACGGTGACTTGGTTAGAGAGGCGCTCAAACAGTTGGGAGACGCCCGGGCAGAGCTGGTGGACATGACACAGAAGGCGGGGTCAGGGACCCCCGGTACGAAAGGGGGCACGAAACACCCGCGGGTAGTTCCCCCGAAAATTTTCAACGGCGATTCCGAGCAGGTGGACCAGCCTCTGGCGGACTGCTGGCTCAACTTCCAGAACAACCCGGCCTACGACAGCGAGACGGCGAAGAATATTTATACGCTCTCGTATATGAAGGAGGGGTCGGCCGGGGTCTGGGCCAACAACCAGGTGCAGGTGATGCACGGCCAGGATGGGCAGACCGGCCAGGGGAATTATGCCGGTCAAATACGAGGACTGGAAGAAGGCAGTCATCAAGCACGATGGGCTGAAGCGCGCCATTGCTACAGTTAAGGCTACGCTGGCTGCACCCGGTACTTTGGGGTCTACCCTGCCACGTGTTAACGGGAATCCCATTTACCAGAACCCGCTGAACCCCGGGTGCACCCAAAACCCCGGTGGACAGTACACCAACTCGGCCGGGACCCAGTACCAGCAGCAGGCACAGACACAGGCGCAGGTTAACACCCCAGCCGCGGCCGCGAACCCCACACCGGCGGGGCCATTGCCGATGGACATAGACTGCGCGGCCAGCAGGGTGGGCGCAAGTTTCAGACCCCCCTGTTACAGCTGTGGGCAGGAAGGACACCTGGTGCGCAACTGCCTGCAGAAGATGATGCAGAACCCGCAGTTTAGGGCGGTGGTCACCGAGATGGTGAAGGATGGGGAGGAGGGTTTTGGCAAAGATCGCGAGTGAAAGCTGCATCCTCTCGATCTATTATACCCCACTCAGGTGTACTGTTGTCTGTTAACAATCAATTTGAAGTATTGCGACTACCAGACGAGCTACCTGAGTTGGAAGAAATCGTAAACCCCGCCCCAGTAACTGAGAGAAAGGAAGAAGAACAGAGTCGAGGGGCCAATTCCCCTCGGGGTCTCCGTTGAACAGAGAAGCCACATACGGAGAAAGCGAAATGGAGCAGACTCCCTGTGGGCAGTGCAATCGGGGTTCTAACCCGGATGAAGGAACAGGACAGAAAGGCCAAGCAGAGTTTGGCTTGGTGGGTTCACCTGAAGTGGAAGGGAGAAGTAACAGTGCAGCTAGCCCGGGATCTGGTCAAGGCATACAAACCCGATGCCCTGGACGCACTCGAAAGTCTGCGAGAAGGCCTCAATATATTTGGGCCATAGGAAGCAACTCCATGATGCTACCGGTCGTGCTGAAGGAATTGAGCAGCAGACGTGGATACACCGTCACGGGGTTGGTCGACAGCAGCGCCACCAATTGGTTTATTAACCAGAAGTTTGTGGACAAACACCAGCTCGAGGTGGAGGAGTTGCCCATGGCCGTGCCCGTGTACAACGCAGACGGGACCCCGAACCAGGGCGGCAAGATTACACACGTCGCGAAGATGCGCTTAGAAGTCAAGGAACACTCAGAAATATTCTCGTTTGCGGTCACCGACACTGGAAAGAGCGACATGATTATTGGGTATAGCTGGTTGCGGCAACATAACCCTGAGATTGACTGGCAGAAGCAGGAGTTTAGGTTCACTTGATGCCCCCCTGCTTACCTGGCGCCGTGCGTTGTGCATCTTGAAACACTTGGTTTTGTGCCGGTAACGGAGGAGCACCTTCCTTATTCCATCCTGGCGCGGGTTGAACCTGGTTTTGATACGTAGGAGCACAATTCCGTATTGGTTCTGGGTTCCGGATCGGACCCGTATCAATTTTGCGAGAGAGCGATTGTATCTGCGCCGCAAAGGTTTGGTTCGTTGATAGCCCATTCCACAGCCTCAATTACACTGGCCATAGGATATGGTTCGTCACTAGGCTGCGCCGTCCGTACAACGTGAAATCTACTCAAGACTCGCAAGTGGAAGTCGGGATGTATGCCTTTCATAAAATACTTGTTTGTCTCCCGGTCAGAGATCTTGTTTTTGCTTTCAAGAAATCTGCTACACGTTGAAAGTCGCGCGTGTATTGGCCGAACTCGTCTCAGTTGGCAGGTAACTTCTGCTGCCCGATTCGGACCACCTCTTTGAAATCGGCCCAGGTATACAATTTATCCTGGTCTGCCCCTGGATAGAGTTTTATAATAGCATCTTTGAACGCCTGAAAGGTCATTCCTGGGGTCTGTTTCCGTGTCCAGAGTTCCTCTTCATTAATTTCCAGGTACCGCAACACAATGTGAATTAACTCTGCATCCGTTGTCCTCTCCGAATCCGTGCCCACATCATCTACGTCCTTGGAAGTAACATTTAAGATGGCTAGCTTTTCCGTTAAACGATGGTGCCGACTTGGCGCCTCGAGCCGGTAATGGTTTCGGCGTCGTCTGTTTCGGAATTTGGGGGATAGGATTCTGAAGTGGCTGAGCGCGAGATGGAGTAGGTGGTTTGTCTGACAAGGTAATTGACGAGGGTCCGATATGAAAGTGGTATCGGCTGGTGGTGAATCGGGGTCCGTATCGACCAACTCCGTGAGGTCAGAATGGTCCGATTCCGTTTCTTCGATACGGGGAGTTGCTAAACTCGAGGTGCTCTGTTCAGGCAAGTTTTCTGCAAGGTCTATTTCCTCCCACAGGTTACGGCAAGGGCCGCGCGTTTTGGAAGCCGGCATAGGCAGGGCAACAGCGGTTGAACCCGCTCTGCGCGCGCGTGCCGAACTATGGCGGGTCTCCAGCTGTGAATTTCCCCCTCACGTTGGGCTCCAGATGTGATGCGGACTGCGGTTCTGTGAACTGCCTAACCCGGGGTGGGTATAGTCAAGTAGTGTTTACAGAATTTAATTCGTCCTCTAGGAGGAAATTGCTCTGTCGCAGAGCTGCGTAGTTTTTAAGGTACACTAATGCGCAGTATAAAACCACCCGTCTCGAACGCATCGAATGGCAGGTCTCTTCAGTACAGTGTAACACTATACGGACGGCTATAGTGATTCCCTTCATAGCCTGGTTTCTCCGTTGGTGAATGCCTTGAAACGGAGTTACTTCTGGTTCGAAGACTCGGTGGTGAAGTGTGCGAAATGAATGGGGGAAATGGCATGATCGTGTAGGATAGGCCTTCCGTATATGATGGGGTGGGTTCCTCGCAAGGTTAGGCATTTTAACTCCGAATAAGAACGGTTGCACGAAGCCAAGTTAGGCTACCGTTTGGTGGTGTGCCGCGTAATCTGCTACCACGCGATTTCAACTCCGGATTGACTATATTTCCTCTGTATTGATTTATCAAAACGGAGGTGAGGTGGATGGGGTTTCTTGACAAGCCCAGGCCTTTAGGTGACCTGGATTGTCCTACTATTGGGTTGCACGACTTGTAGCAGAGTGTATTCAATTTAAATCCCCACCCTGGTGTACTTCAGGGGGAGTAGCTTTAGGTATATGGAGTGGGTGGTAATAAGATGTTTAGGAAACCGAGCCCTCCTCCGTTCCCATTCTGACTCGCCACATCGATCTCCATGCGCTCCCTGTGTTTGAAGGGGCTGACATTTGATTCGGACTTGCCTCGTGCCATCTCTGTTTCCCGTTTGGTCACCCCGTTTTCCAAGAGCCTACTCCGTATGCCGGTCCGCCATCAGTCCGCCTCCGTATTGAATTTAACTGTGCTTCCGTTTCCCGGAGTCTGAATTATAGGTGAACAAGTGCATCCCCAAATCACGGTCGAATGGTGCAGTTGATGGCACTCGCAGTTGAATTGAAAATAACTTCATGACCTACTCGCTGCAGGACCTCCGTTCGATTCGGGGTTCGGCCTTCCCACAATCTGTCTATAACTTTTTATGAGTTAGCTTCCCGTTTTGCTTATCGGAATCACGGCCGGGTGGTGCAATGGTAACACGCGCAACCTACTTCATTTGTGAGTTCCTCGTTTGATTCGGGGTCCGGTCTTGGGTGTGAAAGTCGGGTTTTTATTTCGAAACAGGATTTGTGTTTCTTTTGGATTCGGAATCGTGAAGCCGTGGCCTGGTGGTGTAATGATTAACACGCATGAAATGGATAACCGTGTAGATTGGCTTCTTCACGAGTTCTCCGTTCGATTCGGAGTCTGGCCATCCGCTTAGTCCAATGAGCTTTTTTAATTCCATCCATAATCACGACCAGATGGTGTAGTGGCAATGCACGCAGGACGAGTCCCTGCGAGTTCTTTGTTCGATTCGGAGTCTGGTCATTCATTTAATCTAGTGACTTTTTAATTCATGTCCGTATTGTTTTTGTCCGTTTGTCGAGGCTCTCCATCTTAACCACGGCCAGGTGGCAGAGTGGTAACACATGCGAGTCGAATACAGAGCCTGCAATGTTTCCTCGCAAGGACTCCGTTCAATTTGGGGTCTGGCCTTGTGGAATGGTGTGAGTCTTTTTCATTCGGAGGTGCGGTAATTGTCAATTTCATGGATACGGAGTCGTAATCGTGAAAGCTTGTTTTTCCTCCTGTTTGGCTGCGTTCGGAGCGTATCACAAAGTGACAGCTCACACCGTAAAGGTCTGGTTGATACTCCTCATCGCCGAGGTGAGTCCAACCATTTCCTTCTTTATGAAGGAGCTATCTTCATCGGTCTCCCTGTACAGCGCGCCCGGAACCCCATCGATAGCCCACTCTGCTGCCTCGATTACATCTGTCATGGGATATGGCTCATCGCTGGGCTGCACTGTTCGTATGACGTGAAGCCTGCTCAGAACCCGGAAACAAATCAGGGTGAATGCCTTTCATGAAGTATTCTTTCGTCTGTCTATCGGAGATTTTGCCCTTAGCCTTCAAGAAGTCTGCCACATGCTGAAAATCGCGTGTGTACCGGCTGAATCTGTCTCGGTTGGCAAGCAATTTCTGCTGTCCGATTCGGACTACTTCTTTGAAGTCAGTCCAGGTATATAATTTATCCTGGTCTGCCCCCGGATAGAGCTTTATAATGGTGTCTTTGAACACCTGAAAAGTCATTCTGGGAGTCTGTTTTCTCGTCCAGAGTTGTTCTTCGTTGATCTCCAGGTATGGCAACACGATGTGAATTAAGTCTGGATCTGTGGTCCTTTCCGAATCAGCGCCTACGTCCTCCATGTCTTGGAAATAGTGTTGAAGGTGCCCAGCCTTTCCATCAAATGTCAGCGCAGACTTCGAGTGCAGGCAATGGTTTTGGCATGGTCCATTTCGGAATCTGGGGAATAGGGTTCTGAAGGGATAATGGAGCACAAGGCGGAGTGGGTGGTTCATCTGGTGATAGACGAGGGGTCCGAAACGGATGTGGATTCGGTGGTTGGTGAATCAGGTTCCGTATCAATTAACTCCGTGAGATCAGAGTAGTCCGATTCCTCCTCTTCTTCGGTGTGCGGAGTTGCAAGACTTGATGTGCTTTGTTCTGGTTGGTTTTCTGCGAGGATTATCTCCTTCTGCAGGTTACGGCAAGGACTGTGCTTTTTGGAGGCGGCCGTAGGTGGGGCGACGGCGGTCGAACCCTGTCTGCGTGCGCGTACCGAACTACTGCAGGTCTCCAGCTGTGAATTTCCGCCTTGCGGTGGGCTCCAGATGTGATGTGGACTGCGGTTGTGTGAACTGCCTGACCCGGGGTGGATAGAGTCAAGTAGTGGTCACAGAGATTTATTCATCCTCTAGGGGGGAATTGCTCTGGCGTAGAGATGCGTAGTTTTTTATGGTATGCTAATGTGCAAATATAAAATGTGGTGGTGGTGGTTATTACAGTCCTCTCCATGTGGAGTGAACGGGGCACCAGGTTCCTCGTTGGGGGCTGGCCTTCCGAATAAGCCGTGGTCGGAGAGTTTTTTACAGTTGCCCAAAGGGTGCGCTCTGCAACGCAAATGCTGTTCCGTTCCGGGATATGCAGTTTATATGGTTATACTTATCCACCCGTCTCGTATAATCCGGACGGCAGGTATCTTCAGAACTGTGTAACACAGCGTGAATGGACTATAGCAGTGTCCTTCATAGCCCGGTTTCTTTCTCCGCTTGTGAACCCCTCGATACAGAGTTGCCTCCAATTTGCTGACTCGGGGGTGAAGTGGTGCAAATAAATTGGGGGAAGTGGTATAGTCGTGCGGGATAAGCCTTCCGTTACAATGGGGTGGTGTTCCTCGCAAGGATATGCACTCGAACTCCGAATGAGAGCGGTTGCACGCAGCTAAGTTAGGCTGCTGGCTGTTTGGTGGTATGCTGCGTAATCTGCTACCACGCACTTTCAACTCCAGATTGACTATAATTCCCTCCGATTTGTTTTATCGAAATGGAGGTGAAGTGGACTGGATTTCTTGACCAACCCTGGTCCTAGGTGACTTTGGTTTGTCCCACTGTTGGGCGGCACGACCCATAGCAGAGTGTATTTAATTTGATTCCCCACCCTGTTGTACTTCAGGGGGAGTAGCTTTAGGTATACACAGCGGAAGGTAATAAGATGTCTTCCTAGTACAAGATGGCTGGCTTTTACACTATTCTCCGTCCGATAAGTTATAACCGTGGGCACCCCAGCTTCCCATTCGGTAAACAGAGCCCTTCTCCATTTCTCCTTTGACTCCTTGCCGCCGATCTCCACGTGCTCCCTACGTTTGAAAGGGTTGACAGTTGAGTGGTGCAGTTGGTAGCACTCGTGGTTTCGTTGAGGATAGCTTCATCAACTACTTGCCGCAGGACCCTCGTTCTATTCGGGGCTCAGCCTTGGGCGCGAAGATCGGGTTTTTTTTAGCTCTTTTGTTTCACGGAGTCCTGTGCTTCTTTTGGTTTCGGAGTCGTAAAGAAACGGTCGGTGGTGTAATGGTTAACATGTGTGAACTGGGTACATTTGTGTAGCGCTTCTTCACGAGCTCTCCGTTTGATTCGGAGTCTGGCCGTGTTTAATCCAATGAGCTTTTTATTGAGGTTGTCACCACATTTCTAATTCAGGGTTTTAGATCCTTTTTCCAATAATCACGGCCGGGTGGCGGAGTGGTAATGCCACGCAGGATGAATACCGCTCAATGAATATTCCCTGCAAGACCTCCGTTTGACTCGGAGTCTGGCCTTTTTTTGGTGTGTTGTCCGACCTTTTCCCCTATTTCTCCGAGTTGCAGCCCCGTGTTGCTTGTTCGAAATGCAGAATTATCACGGCCAGGTGGCGGAGTGGTAACACATGTGAAAGGAATACAGCGCCTGCAATGTTTCCTCGCAAGGTCTCTGTTCGATTTGGAGTCTGGCCATGTGGAATTGTGTGAGCTTTTTTGAATTGGGGGGCTTTTGCATTCGGCTGCTCCGTTTCCATTTATTGTAGATTCGTCATGGCCAGGTAGCGGAGTGGTAACGCATGCGAAATGAATAGAGTGTCTGCAATGTTTCCTCGCAAGGTCTCTGTTCGATTCGGACTTTGGCCATGTTCATTGGATCAAGTGTTTTTAATTCGGGGTTCTTGGATTCGGAGCCGTTGTGTTGGAACCTTTTTGGGAATTGGAGTCGTGGTCATGAAAGGTTCTTTTCCATCCTGTTTGGCTGTGGTTGGAGCATATCCCAAAGTGATAGCTCACAATGGACCACGCCCGGCACAGCACTTTGGTAAAACCCTGGGACAACCACCGGTCATTTAGTTGAGTTGGATAGTACTGTGAGGTCCTTAATAAGCCCAAAGTGTATGGAAAAGATCTTGGATTCGAAGAAGTTCGAGTCTGCCGCTAGCTCTCGAGAGGCCAGCTGTACAATAGGGGACATTTAGAAGAAGTAACATAGCCCTTAAACGGGATTTTCAGTCTAAAGCTATATCTCCTCGCCTGGGCACCTGTACATCTGTGCGATCCCCGGTAACAATCCTTTTCATATAAACCTGCACATCATTCACTGGAAGTCTTGTTTTGCAAAGCCAATAAGCCAGCCAATTAGCGTCTGGATGCTGCATTTTGAGACATTTTGAACGCATAGAACAACTATATGTGCAATAGGCATCAGATCTGCAGTTGCATACTACGACTCAGGACTCACCGAGGAAGACATGCTAGTCCCCCGTGAGGCAGTTTAGATAGGATTTGGTTGGTGTGTGTGTGTTTTGTGTGTGGTGTGTTAGTGTTCAGCTAGCCCGCATTCAGAGCCCTTAGTTTAGCCAAGTTTCTAGTCAGCACATCTTGCCCGTCTCAACACGCTTAGTCCTTTGTGAGGCAGTTTAGTAGGGATTTGGTTGGTGTGTGTGGTGTGTTATTGTCCAGCTAGCCCGCATTCAGAGCTTAGTTTAGCCAAGTTCACAGTTAGTGCATCTTGCCCCTTTCATTGGGGATGTTGATGTTCTCATACCCCAACACCTTGTGAACGGCTTTCACACATTTCGGGGTCTTGATTAGTCGATAGGTTGTATATACTGTACGACTGTTGAGGGTACAGGTAGGGGTTTGCACCAAAGCTGACATCAGGCTAACCCAGGGTTGTTGCTGACAACATTATGAGGGCACATACAGGAAACAGTGAGACAGTACTGAGAATAAAGAGTCCCCCATGTACATCGTGATAGATCGGCCACCGTTGTTTGATATTAACCGCTGCATCTTTGCCAGTATTGCATTTGTGTGAATTTCCAGCAAACACTGTTCAATTACACACCAGAGATATTGGAAGTCAACACAATCACGTGTATGTGTTATGTGCCGCCAATGTCCCCCGTGTCCTGGCTCCCGCGAGCACTCTGTGACATCCCCCCTATAACGGACACCTACACATGCACCGGCCGAAAACTCAGCCGAGGACCCCCATAATAATTATTCGCCTGCTTGCGGTCACCGCATCCTAGTAGTTAGTGTACTTGTTGCGGTATAGAGATGCAGATTTATATATATATATATATATATAAAACACAATCATGTGAGCAGGAGAATGTAGATGTGCGTGAAGAAACACGTGTGGTGGGTGATTCCCCGGAATTCACAAAGAAAGAGCCTTTTTCTGGGTGGTCCTCCCCCCTTAGAATTTGTGCATCCAGCAGGTTAAATTGGGCAAGGGGAACCCAGGACACAGTAGGATTACCCGTATATGAAGGAAACCCCTGACTTTGAACTGCAAGTTGAATGAACTTGAGATTGCCTGGGTTCAACTTGAGAGGTGTAATACAGTAAACCAATGAATTGAAACAGTGTAAATTGAACTGAATGGAAGTAAAAGGACAGCCAGAAACATCCAAATGTCACCAGGAGGATTCAAACCTCCCCCGTATAAAGTCTGTCAACAACAATAGCGATTGAGTTGATATTCTCGTCACCGTAAGTAAGGTGCAATAACTGAGCAATGAACATATTCGTTCAAACGGAGTCCAATCAGAACATGAACCTGCGGAAATACAAATACAACTGTAGTTCTAAGGTTGCACAGGAAATATTCAACATCTGATGGACAGGTATATGAGGGCAATATAGTGATTCCATCGGTCTAACACTCACTATTATGCATTTTCCATTGAGACTGGAAGTGAGCACTTTTTTCAAGGAGCATGTCAGCAATTTTGCTGTGGCCTTCGGCAATCACAGTCTACAGAGTGGTCCCATATTTCCTCCCCCACTGCGTTGACATCAGCACCTTCTCTGAGAAGGATACTGACAATCTCGGTGTGGCCTCTACAATTAGCAACCTGCAATGAGCTCCCATAGACTCCCCCCACTGCATTGATGTCAGCCCCCTTTGCAAGAAGGGTTCTGACAATGTTGGTGTAGCCCTCAGCAGCAGCAGCCTGCAATGCGCTCCCCTCAATTCCTGCTGCATTGATGTCAGCCCCCTTTGCAAGAAGGGTGCTGACAATCTCGGTGTGGCCATAAGCAGCAGCGGCCGGCAATGCATTTCCATAGTATCCACCTGCTGCATTGATGTCAGCACCCTTTTCAAGCAGCATACTGACAATCTCCTTGTGACCTCCCTCAGCAGCAGCATGCAATGCACTTCCATAGACTCCATCTGTTGCATTGATGTCAGCACCCTTTTCAAGCAGCATACTGACAATCTCCTTGTGGCCTCTCTCAGCAGCAGCCCACAATGACCTTTCATTCTTTCTCCCTACTGCATTGATGTCAGCACCCTTTTCAAGAAGGAGCCTGAGAATCTCTGTATGGCCATAGTATGATGCCACAATAGTCTCTGGGTCCTCTGAATTCTGCAGTGGAGGTGCCCTCTCTAGCAGAAACTTTGTAGTTTCCACAAGGTTTGCAGCTGCTGCAATCCACAATGCGGAAGGTTCTGATGGGCGGGGGTCATAATTCCATGGGCTGGAATCCCATGCCGATCGAGATGCACGTTTATTATCCATTGTGTTCAGCCATCGAAAAGCCCGACCAAGAAACTTGAGAAGAAGTTCTCTGAGTTCGACTTCGGGCTGTCCAGCGGCATGTGCAAGGCAATACTGTGAATACTCGGCTAGAGGGGGTAATTTCTGGGACTGCCAGGATAAATCCCAGGGCTCACAGGATAAATCCCAGGACTCCCAGGATAAATTCCGATATCTATAAAAAGCACTGAATGAATCTGGATATCCATCAAAAGTAAGGAATGTGAGCAGAGTACATGTTATCTCTGTTTGTGCATCGGGGAATTTCTCAGCCTGGATTTTGTTCAAATATTCCTGTGTGGTGTAGTGGACAAGTCGCACTACAGATGACTTCTTGTCCACAGTCACAAGCCCAGCACAAACAGCAAGAACAGTCTCAATGTCAAGGAGATAGTCCTTATCAAGGCTCCGTGCACCTGGCCTGATAGCTAGAGCTGTGGTTAATTCAGAAACTGTTAACAGCCGCTTTGCATTAGCAACCCAAATGAGGGTAGAGCGAGCTGTCTTTCTGTTGTCCTCGTTCTGTGCTTCGATCAGCTGCATTGTAATATGATAACTGTCATATAGGTCCTTTGGTAGTTCTTTCAACGCTTCTCGAACATCCCCAATTGTGTTTTTTGTGCTGAGGAACTGCATATAAAGCTTGGCAAGAAGAAACCTGGTTAACATTAGTTTCAGTTGTGTTCAACCACAAATTATCGCCACTCACATTCCATCTGCAGCATTAATGACTTTTGTAAGAATTTCCTCTCGTAACTCAGGCTTTCTCTGAATATGCTTGGGCAAGTATGGAGAGGACTCAATCTGTGCATTGATATATGCTTGAATATCTCCTGCTGCGACTTGGATATCTAGTATTTCAAGCTTGGGAAAGGAGGAAGAGTCTGCAGAGATATTTGGCCGTGAAGTTATCATCAAGTTCACATTGCTTCCAAGCGCTGCCAGTTGTTTGAGTAGAACTTTCTGTTGAAAATCAGGGTATTCATCTATGGCATCAACAATGATGAACACCCGTGAAAACTCCTCCAAGCTAGAGTTGAGCACATTGACAACTTCTTCCAGGGACGGTGCGGTGCCTTTTCCTCGGTGCTGCTGGTATAACTTCTCTCCAATGGAGCCAATATCTTTATCAAGTACAAGCTGCCTCCAAAGACCTGCAAGAAGCCTAGATGGTGTTTGGTCGTCGACTTCCTTGTGGTTGAGATAAATGCAAGCAACCCCAGTATCTTTGCCTTTGGATTGGGTGCTAAGATAGTTCACAACCATTGATCTGGAGCTTTATGATTATTAGCCCTCACTCAATATCGGGAAGAAACCCACACAAGGATGGTTTTCCCAGCACCGGCTGGAAATATTGGTTACTGTGGAAGCTACAATGGTGATGAACCACATACGAATTCCGCGGCACCAAAGAGTGTTTCCAAGACCAGCCTCCCATGTTTTGAAGACAGGATGTTCAAGGAGCCATCCACCTGTCCCTTCCGCCCTCATCTCTGAAATAGCTGCATGTCGTAGGAAGAAGTTGATAGGTGAGAGCCAGTTAATGATCTTTGTGCGTTCTTCTTCCTTGTCGCCATGATTGAGGTTTAGAATGGGACCCTGGCCAACACCTCCTTGACCACCCTGTCCACCACCCTGTCCGCCATCACCTCCTATGCCTCCTGGGTCAAGTAAATACCAATGTTAACATGAGAATTGATTTATCTCGCACCATGCATGATAAGGTGGAGTCCCCGGGGTAGGAGAGACATGTCCATTCTAACTATGGAGTATACATGTCAACCAGTGTCAAGGGAATGTGCAAGACGGAACTAACCAAAGAGGATATAATGTGCAGTAGACTTGGGCTTGTAGCACAAAGAATGTACTCAAGGAAAGACAAGGATAAGAGGAAGCACTGTAGCGACGTGTGTGGGCCTTTGGCTCTTTAAATGGGCGGAAGGCTGTGTGTTAAGATCCAGGGAACTGGCTCACTGCGCTCGCGAATTTACGACGTGGCGCCTTTAGCGATGACAGCCAGCTGACAGTCATATACTGTTGCCAAATGAACAGGAATAGTCCTTCCTCTTGAAGGTAAATTTTCAGCTC